TATCAGAGTTATCTGCATTTGGGTCCTGCTTCCTTCACTCAACCGTGACAGGTTTACTCTTACATCTTTCAAGACATCTGTGATACACACAAGTGGTACTTTGAGTCTAACAGAGCATATTGAATTCAAATTAGATTTATTTCATGGAATAACTTCAGGTCTTTATTGTTCTTCCTCCTTGACTTATGTGGCAGCTGGTTCCTCTTCAGGGCACAGGTCTGAAACAAAAAGAGTTGATAAGTGCTTCAATATTCTCCTTACTGCCGTGTGTGTGGTGATTAATTGCTATCTTACCTGTGATATCTCCAAAGAAAAATTCTGGGGGGAATTTGAGGCATGCAGCTTGTTGCTTGATAACTTCCAGATCAAGGTCATCCAATCTCCCAGTCTTTGCTGCAGGGCAGGTAGGAAGAGAAACACGTTAAAGTCAACCAAATGAAGGGATAAAATCCAGCGTTTTAGAGCTTTACACTTGTCAGAGAAGCTGAGAGTAACAGACAGCAGTGAACTCACTGAAGATGTACAGGCTCCTGCCAGCTATGACCTCCTCTTTGCCCGGCCTCATTGTGGTGTCGGTCCAGAGGATGCAGTCAGTGCAGCTCCCCAGGTGCCTCCCAATGTGCACGTGTTCAGTGTCGTTAAAGTTAACTATGAGATACAGCCAGAAGATTAACATGTTATGCATTTCTAGTAACTTGTTTAAGCACACATTATGTTGTGTCTCGGCAGATTTGTTAATATTATTTCTCTGTTTAGTTTAAGTCTGTGTCTGCTACCCTTTTTGTTGTCTGCCATTTCCTGTTTTACTTTGCCATTTCCTTTCTCATTTTGAGGTAGTTCGACTCCTACCTTGTCACTATGCTCACGGACCTGATTACCTGCCCTGCCCTTATTGTTTGCACCTGTAGAGTCCCTTGTTTGTGTATATATTCTGTGCGTTCCCTGTGCTCAGTGCCAGATCGTTTTTGAACCTTGAGAATGGATTACCTTGCTTATCACCACAGTAAAAACCTTTTTGTAATCATCTTTTGTCTGGAGTCGTGCATTTGGGTCCTATCAGTTTTTGTGTGCTCCAGTCGTAACACATTATAATCATGATTTACTTACATGTCACCTTGGTGTCGTTTCCGGAGAAGGTGTAATTGACGCCTCCATACACACATTTGCCATTTCTTGAAAGGAGAGACAAATATGACATAAGCCTAAGCAGTTACCTGATGGATTGATTTGCTTAAGTAATTAAAAAAAAGTGATGAACAGTTACATTTTGTCTCCCCAGCGTAGAGTCATGGCCTCACTACCAGGTATGGGGGTGAGTTTGATCCAGGAGCTGTTGACAGTTTTAAGTATACTCATGAGATCTCCAGTGTCTGATACTCCAGCATGGAATATCCATTTCCCAGCAACCTAGACACAAATGAACACGTTTTTAGTTTAATAACGAGTCTCAGCGTAGACATGTTTGAGCTCAAAATAAATCGTTTTTGTTTTCAGTTGTATAGCCCTATAGAATAATAATGTAAAGTACACTGGGGGTTAAGGTTTACTCATGTGAGCAACATACCCCGCTGCGATCCGCCAGAGGTTTCAGCAGGTCTTCACAAACTGGATCAGATGCTGCAGTCAGGGAGGAGAGAGCCAGCAGAGCTAAACAAAACGGAACAGACATGATTAGAAGTCAAAATCACAGCCAATAGGAGACTGCAACACTATGAGCACAGCATGCTAGACTTAAGACTAATATAGGGGAGGTTACATAACTATGGGTGAGAGAGAGACAGAGACAGAGCAGGAGAGAGAGAGTTGTTGGTGATAAATAAGGACACGAGGTGGGCGGGCGACAGTATGTTTGGGAAGTTATGTAACAATTTGCATCTCTGTAGTGACCAAAGAGCATATTGACAGAGTATTTTTGGCATCACTGATGTTTGCTAATCTCTGCTTGTTTTTTTCACGCAGAAGATAGGGATGATAGTTAATGTGAATGTTTGTTATTTATGTTTGTAATACGTTTTATTATAGTGTTAATACAAGATAAATACTGAGGTCTTCTTTGTGGTTCAAAGGCTCACTCACGCTTTCTTCTACTGTCTTCTGGTGATGAATTATTCCTCCCGTCACTCTTCCTCTGTGTTTGAAGACAGGGAGTTGTTCTCATGGAAAATGCAAATACCAGTCAATAAATACATATATATATGGGACTAATCTAAAGTGTTGACAAGGCAGTGTTACAGTTATATTACATTTAAAGGCAGTACATAAGTACACATCTATGACTGTGCTGTTTCAGGAATTATTCCTTTTGAACTTTGTACTGTTAATGAGCATGTACTGATAATAATGTGGATACTATATTACAGTAGGCTCTTATTTCACTATGTGTTCAAGGTAAAAGATGGCTACGGATTATTGTAAATGCATTTAGGAAAAGGCTGTTACTGCACATGTTACCATGCTCTTTTGCTATGCTTATGATTTGTCCTCTGCTGACTTTTGCAGGAGCCCTATCAAGTTCATGCAGTTCACACTAGGAGTCTGTCAAGCTTCGTTTCTCAAGGGCAATGGCTTAAATGCGCTAGGGTGGTTAATAGGGAGGGAGCTTGCGTTTCCCCATATAGTGTTCACTCTTACTGTATGTGTACTCACACTGCTGTTCCGTGCAACACATGGAGCAGAACCACACAACTTAGAGAGGCATGACTTTGGATCACCTTGTCTGCAAACCCTGAATGACACCAGTCAATGATACACACAGTCCAACAAAATAGAGAGCGACACTTTGAATAAGGGAAGAGAAGATTTATACTAGCATATTTAAAACTCATGAAATTCTTCTCTGTGTATTTACAAAAACATAATACAAGAATAAAAAAGAGAAAATTAACACATCACTAATGGAGTCCCACATACTGCCACAAAACAGAAAACATGATCCAATTTACAAATGCATCGTCTTGCACTCCCACTTATGGCTTCAATCTAACATAAGTGACTAAATAAAATATTTCTGTTCAGTTGTGATGTTGCACCAGCAGTCCATCCCTCCTCTCCAGATTTGTTTAAATAATAATAGTAATAATAATAATATCAAATACACATACAAGACAAGAGGAGCTACATTTGGGAGCTGTACACTATGCAGTAGGGAGAGGGAAATGTTCACAGGCATATCGACCTTTTGTATGATGATTATACATCTTGGGCGGTGAAAAAGTTGAAAACATTGATTAAAAACAAGCTTCTTTAGCTTTCTGTACCAACCAACCTTTCACATCACACAGAGATCACAGTTAATCCGGATGGAAATAGAGAACCAGAGTGACTTAATAAGCTAGTGTCTAACAGTTCACCTTTCATACTGGTCATATCTCTTTGTTAGTCCACTCAAGAAAGTCAATTGATGAATCATTAGGATAAAGGTTCAAATAACTACAGATAACAGAGGTACCAGCAAACAAAAATCAAATCACATGACAGGTTCAGTGTCCTCATTTGTTATATAATATAGTCAAATAAAAAAAATCGAACTTTTGTCCTGTGCACTCAACGGGATGTAAAAATGCCCAATAGGAAACTGCCAACACCGTCAATTGGAACAGAGGTTAATTGCTTAATAAAGAAAGATGCATCACTTTATTATATTAAAAAAAATCAGTTTGTATTAGTGGGTATAAACCTTTTTACCCAGTGTTATCTCTACTGCTCTCACAGCATTATAACATACCTTTGGAAAGAGGAAGTAACACAATATTTCTCTCACAATTAGAATCACTCAATTCATAATTGGATTGGATTTTGTTTCTATCGCCCCACATGGTCTTGTGTTCAACAAAAGTTGAACACAATGTTACTTCCCATTTTGATTTTGAAGAGATCTCACATTTTTAACAATTATGGCTGAGTTTGGGAGTATAACTAGCAAAACGACTTATAGTATAAGACATACAACACAATGTAAGTGGTCTGAACACGTGTGAAAACCACAAAAGCTGAATATTAAGACAGATTTCTGCACAAGCCTTAAATAAACCTTGTTATTGTGATGTATCTCCAATTGTCTTTCAGTAACGGACAAACGATTTGTCGAGAAAAGACTAAAGATGTGACCACCAGTTGGATTAAATTTGACCATCAATCAAAACGTTTCTATAAATCCTTGAACATTAAAACCTTAGCATAAATAGGATACTGATTTGTTTTTGGGCATGAACAAAAGGCAGACAGGAGTGTGTTCACAGTCTCATTCACGCTGTATGCAAATATACAAAGAGTTCTCCTCCAGGGGTTTCAATTTGGTTCCTTTGTACAGTCTCATAGTTGCAGAGGAAGAACTGATGAATGTAGCAGTCCCCACTTCAAACTGCAGAAGAAACGGGAGAGAAGAGACGTGGACAGAAACGATGGAGGGGGGGGGTCTGGGGTTAGTAGGAGGACGGAGCGGGGGGCGACTGCCTGACATGGCAGGTTGTGGTGGAGGAAGAGTCACTGGTCTAGATGACATCACATCCTGTCCCGCTGCATTTCACTGATGCACCCCAGCATGATGGGCGGCTGAACCGAACCTGCTTCAGAGCCTTCACACACTCATCGTCATGTTTGGAGAATACTGCAGAGATAAGATGAGGGGAAACAAGTATGTGTGAGTGTAGGAACATTTTGCACTGTTAGTAAGTATGCTGAATCAGAAATCCTTCCAAAATGTTATGGATTAAGTCCAACAATTATAAGACATAGTAAAAGTTATGCGAGTCATGGATTTGTGATTTGCTCCCATTCTAAGTAAACCTATTTTAATTGGATTTTAGGTAGCTGATGGTAAAAAAAACATTCTATACAGTAACTATTAAGTAAATCGTTAAATCAACTATCCAGTATGGCATTTAATGGGGTTGTGGCAGATTGCAAACAACTGGATACACCCACGATAACCCCTTCTTTCCCAAACAGGACAAACTAAATATGTGGCTCTGTCTTAATCCAGAGTTGAGGTTTGTCCATTCAGGGCTACTGTAGAAACATGGCGGACTATGTGAGGAGGATGCAGATATGAAGGGTTTATTCAAAAGTAAAGAAACTACGAGTATTAGTTTCAGGTGATTATAAACTATTGAAAAATAGTTATAAATAGTATATTCCAATAAATCCCCCTTACATTGTTCCTATATTTCTATAGTTTAGTTAGTAGTTATATTACGTTTTGAGCTCTTGCTACCTAATATCCTCTAATCTCCACATATAGTAGATTATAATTGACTTACACTTTCATTCTGAAAAGGGTTTAGGAAGTTTCCTCCCATCTCTCCATCCTCCCTGGGGGTCCCAGGCTGGTTACTCATGCTAAGGTTACCAGGAGAGTTCTTTAAAACAAATGGTAATGGTATGCTATTAAATGATCAAATATTTACACTGCAATTGTCATTTAAAGTAGATACATATATTAGCTCACCTTAGGGAGGCTGTCCATATCACCTGACCCTAAAAGAGGGAACACATTGTAAAATTATAACTGGAGATTTTGTGTCAATACGGCACATACTGTACAAACTACTTATTCCTGTACCTAGTGATCCATTCATGTGATGGGGCTCCATCCCAGCCATCCCCCCTAATGGGCCGTCGCCACCTGCACCCATAGGGAACTGAAGGGGAAACTATTAGATACATACACAAACTCTACCAAACACTCAGATATGTGATATACACTGAGAGAGGAATGTCTTACGTTTGGTCGGCTTCCACCTGGAGGGGCTGTGTTTATCATCGTGTACATGTTGTCGCCAGAGTTGGTTGAATCTGATGTAATGAACAGAAAAACAATGAGTTTGAAAGAGCACCAACGTACAGCTCTCGAAAACATCAAGAGACCACTCCAAGTTTTTCTTAAATCTCAATCTCTACATGTATGGCAACCATTCCATTCCAGTGTCTGTTGAATTCCAACACAGATAAATGCTGTCAGTTATATATTAGAATAACTCAGTAGTTATATTATAGAATAATATCAAAAAACCTTATTTTACTCAAACACATACTTATAAATAGTAAAACCAGAGGAACTGATAATGCTGCAGTGGTCTCTTAATTTCCAGAGCTGTATGTATGAGTTCAGATATAGACACACACTCAAACACACACACAGATCTTGCCTGCTGGACTTGGCATTATTGGGGTCCCAGGTGCCCCCCCTCCTCCTGGTGGTCCCTAAAAATGAGAGTTTTGGTTTCCATAAGTTTCATTCATAAAGCAATGACTTTCAACATGTACAGCTAGTGAACAATGACAGTTTAAACTCAAACATACATACCACATAATTTCCTGGAGATGCAGAAGAGTAGGGGGTCTGCAAAAAAACAAAGTAATCATGAAAGAAATGAAGTAACTTTTTTTTTGTTTGGTGTCTTTTTTTTTTGTCAGGTCACTTACCGAATTGGAGTTAGGAGGATTTGGCCAAGGTCTGCCCCCACCCGGTCCCCTGGAACACACACACACACACACACACACACACACACACACACACAACACACACACACACACACACACACACACACACACACACACACACACACACACACACACACACACACACACACACACACACACACACACACCACACACACACACACACACACACACACACACACACACACACACACACACACACACACACACACACACAATAATACACTTTAGTCGTCGGCTTTTGGCAAGCCTCTTTGTTACCAATTTATTTGGGCAAAGTTGGCAACAACATGTCCGCCTGATGCCAGAGAGGTAAAGGGAACAGGGTAAAAAAGACGAAATAGAGGAAAGCTGTCTTCTAGCTCAACTTACAAACCCCTTACTCCCAAAACAATAGAGTAAAGTTGTAATTAAACACATCTACTGTAGTGAGAGATTCAGGATATTTGCAGTTTAATGTTGTCCTTCTAATTGAGACAGCTGTGAGAGGGTAATTTGGATTACATTGAGTGTGTGCAGAAACATTATGTTGATACCACTCACATGTTCATGCCTGGCATCCCAGGACCAACCAGGGCGTTAAGTGGTGGTCTCATCCCACCTCCATAGCCCTTAAGAAGCAGATATCAGACATCCTTAGTTATGTTTGCGAGAACTACCAGAACCAAATCTTTGTACATTTCCCTAAAGATTACCATGTCCCATACCTGGGGCCCGAGCGGTACCATGCCTCTGGGCGGTGTCATCCGCTGCATCGGACCTCCCATACCTGGATGTCCTGAAACATACAAAACTACAATCAGCCATCAGTTTGTTCCAGAGCAGTGTATCCACGTTGGATGACTTTTCTATTCTTCAGTCAGCTATTTTGGGCCATGTGTATCTTTATGGTCTAGTTTTAAGCTGAGAGAGGTGGAACGTTTTTTAACTCTATCTCTCATCAAGCATGTTCATGTCATCTATTTCACACACATTTGTCTGATCACTACTGTGTTTCAAAACCTTGAGAGGACATACATTCCCTGTCTGAGATTTTTAGAAGTGTGTCTAAATGTAACATTTACAAGTTCAGGTTTAGTTACAGCAGTTTAACAGTAACTGAACAAGTTAGGTTTTTTAATCTGTGCATCATTTATATGTGTTCTCTGGAGGAGTGAGTAGTTTGTGTGAATAGGGGTGTACTTAAAGATAAACAGATATCTGTGTATTACTCTCAATTAAAAGACTTAACTTCTAATAAACTCACCCTACAAGTGTCAGTGTGGCCACAGACTAATACAGCTTTTGCCTATGAACAAATCAGCCAAAGTACCAGAATGGATCTTTACTACGATCATACAGTCCCACAATCAGGTTGTTAGTACTGTTTTTTGTGTGTGTAACATCTTGAAGATGACTGAATGTATTTCCATATTTTGTAATGACTTGGTGACACCTAACATTTTCCAATGGTGTGATGATGACATTTGTGATTTTGTTGCAGACTTTAAGGTTTTATCTAGCAATTATCAAGTAAAACGTGGCCAAAAACTGTCATTGTGAGCATGCCAACATTAGCACTTAGGTCAAAGCACCACTTTGCCTTCATGCAGCTTTACTTGTTAATAGTTCTAGGATGTCAGTTTTTAAGGGCTTTACCAAGCTGTGTGTCCCCAGAAAACACTTTTGGTTTGAAAGAAAAAGATAAAATAATGATGTCCTTTGAGTAAATGGGTTATAACTTATAACTCAGCAATATATTTATTATACAGGTTGTGTTTGCATACCTTGCAGTCTTGTGGGGTCCATTCCGCTCGGTAACATGGACTGGCTGCCTGGGACTCCCAGTCCCTACAGAGGGAGGAGGAGGCGTCACCAGCATTATAGTGACAGTCACACAAACACTTTCCATTTCCACTATTCACAGTACTGTCTGCTGCCTGCAGGGGTCAGTGTGGCTCTTACCTGGTTGGGTAATCTGAGAGTTGGTCTGGGTCCTCCGGGGTATCGAGGTGACATAAACGGCTGAAAGAAATGACAGAATAAATGCATGTGCAGTTACTCTGGGTTATTTATCTCACAATCTAAAAAACGCTACATACTTAAGAAAGGAGAATATAATGGAAATACATCTATATCAATACACCTTTATTGAAATAACAAAATTAAGAGATGCAACCAAATATGACAAAATAAAAGGCCCTTATTTTCAAGAAAATTAATCATAGCTTATTTTTTAAAACCCCATTCATAGAAGAAAAAGAAGAGTCATTGTTCAAAACAGAAAACCAACCACAGCACTTTTCCTTTAACAACAGTTCCATGACAGTCAATTCAGGAAGCCGACCACACTTTCATTGGATTGTATTTATGGAAAAAGAATGGGATAATAAAAGCGGCGGTCGGTTAATAATGATGTCAGTGTATGTGTAAACTGTTTGGCAGCGGGTGTGAGAATCTCTTTTGCAGCTGGGAGTGGGTTTTCGTTTGTCCTCACCACAGACAGTAGCAATGCTTCTGCTATGTTGGCTGAGCTGATACCACTGTGGTCAGAAAGGCCTGCAGAGTAAGAGAAGCAATGCAACAACCTGCCACTAGAGAGCAATGGTCCACTTGTTTTCATCAGGGTCTTTATTCCTCATTACACCTCTTCTCATCTCCCAGATACATAACTACACTGCTTTAAGTCTATTAAAGTACTATAGTAGCTTACAATTTGTTTTCATACTTGCATGAAGAAATACAAGCAATTTACAGAGAATGTTCCTAATGAATGCATAAATGAATGAAGCTGAAGTAAAACAATGTGGATATAATATTGAGGGCATTGCTATGCTTTGTTTGAGATCCTCATGTATTTTTGCCAGTGAAATTCAGCTTTCTTTAGATGATATTCTACATCCAGTCGAAATGCTAATCAGTTTATGGAGCCTGACAGACGACCGGGAATCTGGTAAATGTTGAGTTTCAGTAACCGATAGGTCTCGACAAGACCTTGTCTCCAAAGATCAATTGATCTTCAGAAGGAGATTGCAAAGGATGTTTGGAGTTTTTTTGAAAGCGAAGTCGAGAAATGTCTATGAAGGATATTGATCTGCATGTCAGATGCGAGCGTCTGAGTTTGACTGATAATGTCGGTTAATCAATGTGCGACTGGCAGAGTCCTTCTGATGGAGAACAGAGAGGATCTGGGGCCAAGCTGCATGTGTGACTTTTTGTTAGCGAGACATTTATTTCTCCTGTCAGACTCTTTTCTCTCAGTTTTTGAGAAAACACACACTGGTGCTCCCACACACAGATACATGCTGATTATTCACAGAGACTTTGTACAATAACACATACAGTTAAGTGAGTGAGATCTTTGAGGAACAGCATCATGAACGAAATACTCACATATGGAAATAAAAGTATTACTGTATGTATTTTACCTAATTAAGATTGAAGATTCAAATTATTGTCATTACGTAGTACAGGTATACAGTGGGGCAAAAAAGTATTTAGTCAGCCACCAATTGTGCAAGTTCTCCCACTTAAAAAGATGAGGCCTGTAATTTTCATCGTAGGTACACTTCAACTATGAGAGACAGAATGGGGGGAAATAATCCAGGAAATCACATTGTAGGATTTTTAATGAATGAATTAGTAAATTCCTCGGTAAAATAAGTATTTGGTCACCTACAAACAAACAAGATTTCTGGCTCTCACAGACCTGTAACTTCTTCTTTAAGAGCCTCCTCTGTCCTCCACTTGTTAACTGTATTAATGGCACCTGTTTTAACTCGTTATCAGTATAAAAAACACCTGTCCACAACCTCAAACAGTCACACTCCAAACTCCACTATGGCCAAGACCAAAGAGCTGTCAAAGGACACCAGAAACAAAATTGTAGACCTGCACCAGGCTGGGAAGACTGAATCTGCAATAGGTAAGCAGCTTGGTGTGAAGAAATCAACTGCGGGAGCAATTATTAGAAAATGGAAGACATACAAGACCACTGATAATCTCCCTCGATCTGGGGCTCCACGCAAGATCTCACCCCGTGGGGTCAAAATGATCACAAGAACGGTGAGCAAAAATCCCAGAACCACACAGGGGGACCTAGTCAATGACCTGCAGAGAGCTGGGACCAAAGTAACAAAGGCTACCATCAGTAACACACTACGCCGCCAGGGACTCAAATCCTGCAGTGCCAGACGTGTCCCCCTGCTTAAGCCAGTACATGTCCAGGCCCGTCGGAAGTTTGCTAGAGAGCATTTAGATGATCCAGAAGAGGATTGGGAGAATGTCATATGGTCAGATGAAACCAAAATAGAACTTTTTGGTAAAAACTCAACTAGACGTGTTTGGAGGAGAAAGAATGCTGAGTTGCATCCAAAGAACACCATACCTACTGTGAAACATGGGGGTGGAAACATCATGCTGTGGGGCTGTTTTTCTGCAAAAGGACCAGGACGACTGATCCGTGTAAAGGAAAGAATGAATGGGGCCATGTATCGTGATATTTTGAGTGACAAAGTCCTTCCATCAGCAAGGGCATTGAAGATTAAACGTGGCTGGGTCTTTCAGCATGACAATGATCCCAAACACACCGCCCGGGCAACGAAGGAGTGGCTTCGTAAGAAGCATTTCAAGGTCCTGGAGTGGCCTAGCCAGTCTCCAGATCTCAACCCCATAGAAAATCTTTGGAGGGAGTTGAAAGTCTGTGTTGCCCAGCAACAGCCCCAAAACATCACTGCTCTCCAGGAGATCTGCATGGAGGAATGGGCCAAAATACCAGCAACAGTTTGTGAACACCTTGTGAAGACTTACAGAAAACCTTTGACCTCTGTCATTGCCAACAAAGGGTATATAACAAAGTATTGAGATGAACTTTTGTTATTGACCAAATACTTATTTTCCACCATAATTTGCAAATAAATTCTTTAAAAATCAGACAATGTGATTTTCTGGATTTTTTATTTTTTTTTCTCATTCTGTCTCTCATAGTTGAAGTGTACCTAGGATGGAAATTACAGGCCTCTCATCTTTTTAAGTGGGAGAACTTGCACAATTGGTGGCTGACTAAATACTTTTTTGCCCCACTGTATGTAACAAAATGGTTTCTCTGCATTTGACCCATCCGAGTGTTAGGAGCAGTGGGCTGCCATTATGTATGGCGCCCGGGGAGCAGTGTAGGGAACGGTGCCTTGCTCAGGGACACCTCTGTAGCACTTGGTCTTTCCGGGACTTAAACTGGTGACCTTCCAGTTGCCAAGCCAAGTCCCTATGGACTTCGCCACCACCGCCCCTCTGTAAGATGTACCTGTAAGTGGCCTAAACACCCAAATCTTTTTCTCCCCACTTTTAGTTTTTTGGTTGTGTGTGTGTGTACCATTTACCTGAAAGAACCCTGGAGGGACTGGTCCCACTGGCATGCCCTCTCCTGGGGGAAGGCTCCCGAGGACCGGGCTGGGAGCTGCTGCAGCACTCTGAGAGACGAAACACACACAAAGAAAGAGAAATAAGTCTCAACTCAAAGCAGTCTGCTGGTATTCAACACAATTCTGCTCATCAATGGCTGAAAGTAACAACATTAAGTTACATGTAGTATTTACAGTGAGCACATTCTATATATCAGAATCTGAATCCCCAGGGAAGTTTGATAACAAGATTACAAGTGGTTCCTTTACATACTTTAGTATAGTCCTACTTCCTCTGCACTTTTGAATCATATTGCACATTTAACTCAGCTATTTAATGTACACTCTAGTTTCTTTGCAGAGTAAGGTTATATGTGATGAGTTTATCAAATATGAGGCATTGTTAAAAAAAGTTCTACCTAATATAATATGAAAAAGTTAAAACTGCAAAGGCTCTAACTCAGCCACCAGTATCAATGCAATATAAATGATCCAATAACTTGACATATGAGTTTAACACTCACAGGGGCATTGTGTTTGCATTATGAGAACTACACTTTTAATTCTGACACTTAAAGTACATTTTCAGTCCGTACATTACAGTACAGTACCTCTTCCAAACATGCCACAAAGGAAACAATACAAGGGTCTTCCCACATGTCTCACTTGCTGTCTGTTCTTCAGTGGGATATTTCCTGTTTCTGCAGATACCCTGCTATGCCCGTCACGTTTATTTTTAAACCTTGTGTTTTTTGTTGTGCTTTCCCAGGCGGGTGGTTCTGACACATCTCAGCCTCTGCCTACTTCCTGAGGCATTGTACTACTAACTAACTAACTAACCCAGAGTTACCACCCAGCACCGGCCTCTTCCTCATGACATTTACAGACCAAATAACTGGTAAATTGATGAGAGTATACATCCACATATAGGATAATGTGTGAACAGTGAGCACATACTGACAGCATGTCTGCACACATTTCTTTTTAAAGTATCTACCCACTCTTTGCCCTATTCTGTCTGATCTCCTCTCTCTCTCTCTCTCTCCTCTCTCTCTCTCTCTCTCTCATCTCTCTCTCTCTCTCTCTCATCTCTCTCTCTCTCTCATCTCTCATCTCTCTCTCTCTCTCTCATCTCTCTCATCTCTCTCTCTCTCGGCATTGGCGTAAAAGAGCTTCAGTGAATTCACACCCACAGTCTCTGAAGTTTCCGCCAGCTGACTTTTTAGGTCAGACAGGAACGAGGTTTAATCAGAGCTGAGATAAAAGCGGCTGACGACACTCCTGTATCCTCCTCTGCTCCACCCCCACCACCCTCGCTACCCAACCCCACCCCCCCCCCGGCCTCCCTCATTGTCGTTCATGTTCCCAAAACGTTAATGTTCGGCAACAGGGCAAAGGATGCAGCTCTTGATTCCATATTCTGCTGCAAACGGAGCTCGTACTTGGACTCAGCAGCTGAATGTAAGGATGGATATTGTATCTCGGTATTAAAGCAGTGAAACCAGTGAATTTGAGAGTGTTTTTCCTCTCTCCCTGTTCCTTTTTGCAACCTGGATTACCCAGAATGCCTTTGCTCCCTGGCAGCCTGAGAGGTCTGCTGAGGTTTGCCTTCCCTCACAGAGAAGGGGGAGAGAGAGAGGGAGAGAGAGAGGGAGCGAAAGAGGAGAAAGGAGGACAAAGCAGAGATTACGAGTGTGCATATATGTGTGTGTGTGTGTGTGTGTGCGTGTGTCTATGGGAGTGCGGCTTAATGTTTGTTTGTGTGGGAAAGGAAAGCTGGGGGAGGGAAAAACATCTACCTGACCTGCTGACAAAGCAGCATTTTCCAAATACAGCAACAAGAAAAAAACAGGAAAAAAAACAGTCAGGATATATCTGCTCCAAAACCAGCAACCACCCCTCATCCTACAAAAAACACAAAACAACGCTGGGAATAACACCAACTCCTCTGGTGCTGATGGCCTCTCTTGATTATGACAAACTAGATTCAAATTAGATTAGAAACATCTGAGGAAAATCACATTGATTCACAAAGCCTGTGGATGTTTCTTTCCAAGTTGCTTCTCAAGATACCATGGTTGGGCAAATCACATGGTTTGCACACTGATGCTTGGTTAACATTTGGGCAGCTTTTGTAGTAGAAAAATAGTTATTTGCTTTCTTGGCAAAAGTGAGATAACATTACCCAATTTCATGTTGGTTTGGTTATTGTGAAGCTACCGCCAGCAGTTAGTTGGCTTAACTAAGCACAAGGATGAGAAACAGGAGGAAACAAGCTGGCCTGGCTGTGTCTGAAACATAACAAAATCTGGCTTCAAAGTAGAAAAAAAGTGTCTCACACTCTGGCACTGTGCATTTTCCTTATGTATGGTTTGTGAGATAATTCTACAGTGATCAGCACAATCCTGAACCTCATCACAAACAGTAGTTTTTAAATAAAATCTGTCCAACCAGACCTTCAACTCCTACAATAATACATGTGAGTTACTCAACTAAGAGTGCACTCACAGTGGGTCGGAGAGGGGTGTTACTATATACCCAAGCACTGAGATAATACTCCCTAAACTCAGTTCAATTGGACTGACAGGCATGATTACAATATTCATTCAAAGTGGCAAGCAGTCAATAGAGCTTAAGGATGTAAAGACTCATACAAACCTGGTATCTTTAAAGACTGGAAAGACTTGGTGTTTATTTCAATATTTCAATACATGCTCATGCCTCTTGATTTCACTAACTACCTTTATCTGCTGACTTATAGATAGTAAAAGAGAAAGATTTAAGCAACATTTAATGTTAGTCCTAATGGTAACGATTTTGTGTAACTGTTGATAACAGTTAGATTAAACATGCTGATATGCTTAGACCTTAAAGGTGGGGTAGGTAATTTTGGAGAAAACAGCTCGAGTGCGCTAGACTTTGAAAATACACAACCGGCGAAAATCTGCCACTTCCTTACAGAGCCCTTCCAACACACACGAACATGCACATGACCAATGAGGGCACGAGATAAGTTTGTGCACAGATGGAAGGCTGACAGGCAGGTAGGACATCCAGTTATTTTAGCCGGGTCGGCTAAAATGATTGGTCGTACTTTTTACAGTACTACGGCTTCCACAGATGACATTTTGTTATGGATTTTTTGTCAAAGCACTTAAGATATTCATTGCTATCGGGATGTTAAGAGCATTCCATGGAATATAACAACAAGTGTATCTCGAGCCGGTTTCTCAAACTTACCTACCCCACCTTTAAATGTCTGTTATTATACTACTGTAAATGACTCTGGATTAGACACAATGAATTCCTGTTAGCCAGTTCTTTTTAAATACTGATTCCCAGCAAAGCTCAACATATTCCAGCACTTAACCTTCGCAAACATCAACCGCACACACACTGTTTCCCACTGTTAGTGAGTCCATCGTTTACACTCCTCTCAGATCAGCTTTAACACTTCTGTGACGAGGCCGAGTGAGAGGGACCAGAGCTGTTCAGCTGGTGGTTTTACACATTAACACATTGTTTGATAGTACACATTATTGTTTACAACAATGAATCGTGTGGTGAGAATGTATACCTTTCTTAAAGCATAAACAGTGTTGCTGATAATATGTATTGCACTTGACCTATATGGATGATTGCAGATTCAAATCAAGAACAAATTGTAAGACCCAAATGATTTCAGAAACTCACGTAATTTAAGAACTACTTTTAATAAAATGTTTTGAAATATTCAATCTAATATGAAATATCTGAATGCTCTCTTTATACCAGCTTAATTATGTGCTTTTATGTTTTAGATTGTAGCTCCTTCTCCCTTTATTCTCTGTTTTCTTCACTGTTTCTGTCTGTCATTTGGTTTCAAGAGCGATCAAATCGTTCAATGATTTTGTCTTTGTGGTTTGTTGTGTACAATGATCCCTACATCCGTAGTCGATGGCGTTGTACCCAAAAGGGGTTTGTGATGAAACCTGAGGCTTTGCATCGGCCCTGCATGTCCTCAGCTGAACACCTGCATCTCCTGGCAAACTCATCTGTTGCATAAATTATTCAAACCACTCTACAGTACACCAGACACACACAACAACAGATTCAGTCCTTAGCGCTGTAACATCACCAAAGTACACTGCCATCCACAAACACGAGGTATCCACAAATGAGGGGAATCATTTGATGTGTCAACAGATATTGATGTCCACGGTCTAAACCATGGTAAAGTGTTTGTATATCTCCAGTGTTCATGGATTTGTATGAAGGAATTTCTTTCCAAAACATTTTTTTAGGTGGTAAAGGATTACCAAGATATTGAATATGCATACAAAGAAAGAAGACATTCACGATGGTATGTATCATATGTCAATATCAAAAGGACAATGCACGAGATTGAAATGAAGTTGTTCAAGTACAGGTTCTGTATGTGAGAACGAAAACAAAGAGGGAGAGAGATTTCAGCCACAACAGAATTATTAATCTAAAATGATGCACTTGCTATTGGCTCATAATGGATAAAAAAACCATGTACCATATACTGTAGATTGAAAACACATTTTGTAAAGTTCAAATACAAAAACAGTTGAAGGAAGACATTGAGAGGTAGTACAATTACACTGCACTTCGCTACTTTACAACCTAATCAGAGTTTCTTAATGGCATCACACTAAAGGGCTCAGTAATACTTAATGAGATAACTTGCAAACTCTTTCATCCCTATATGTTTACTGATTGTGTTCGTGGCTAATGTCTACTCGTAATGCGCTTGTGTGTTTGTGTGAGAAGGTGGGGAGTCATTTTCATTCAATTCTTCAGAGACCGAGAGACACTCAGAGATGCGTGAGTGGAATCTCAAAAGGCTGTCTGTGTCTATCTTCCCCTTTTCTCTCCGTCTGTCTGTTTATCTCTCCCTCGCTGACACTGTCTCAACCTGCATCGCCCATTGTCTTTTTTACCACCTTTAAATAATTAGCTCTGTATCTTTAAAAAATAAATATATACCACCCTATACACATTTGTTCTCATGCAACAAATGAAAGTAGACCTCAAAGATAGGTCTGTTTATGTTCTATATTTTT